GGCACCACGACAGCCGGCTAGAGCCTCTCCTGTCCTCTCCAGGCTGCATCTCTCCAGAACTCCGCAGCACTAGTCTCTCCGCAGCACTAGTCTCTCCGCAGCACTAGTCTCTCCACTGCCAGGATAAGCCACTCCAGAACCCAGAGGAAGCTCAGGCAGCGATGGGCCAATACCATGGAGAGTGATATTGACTTTTATAAGCATTTCACTTGGCTTAAAAAGGTGAGTGCATGGGCCTCTTATGTTGGCTGTTGTCTCTGGCTTGTTCTTCTACATTCTTGATAGAAAGAGAGAGGTACAGATGTAGGATCTTCATTTTAACACCCTGTTGAAGGAGAACATTCCTGCAATGCAAACCTGTAGGGTATTTGAGGTTTTAAAAGGCTTCTGAAGTTTGTAATTTACACTACAACCCCTAAACAAATGTCCATTAATTATAATCCACATAATATATCATATTTCCTGTTGCTGCAGGATTATTTTCCCGCTGTAGCAAACTGGCTCAAATTACAATCCTACACCTGTATGTTACTTGAGGAGGAAGATAACAGTGAACTGTAAGAATGAACTGCACAAAATTAGAAAGGGACCATATCATGAGATCTGTATTCCCATGAGATGTTGTTGTCCAGTCTGGTAATAGTTTTTCCTGATGCATTTCCACTAGTTTGAAGTTGAGTGGAGTTGTGAATCCTGTTGAGCTTTTGTGTTGTGTTGGCTGGAAACCTGTTATCAGATGACAGGCATTACAACACCAACCAGCTGAGGATTGTTTTGCAAAGAGAGCCTTGGCACTGTTGTTCTTATGTCTTCATAATGCTGTCTTGTTATTATGTGATATCACAGCACTGTGTAATCCAAAATCAATGGCGACTTGATCATGGTCTCTGGGTATACAGTAAGGGTATAAAGTGCAACAGAAACATTCAAGGCCGTTTAGAGTAGGCGGTAACCGTCTTGCTTACTGTACTGTACAGTCGTCATGCATTCTTAGAAAGGGGGATAATATTTTGGTCATGGCTCTTACTCTTTCTGCCTAGAATGTGCCTTTAAGAGGCATCAAACAGCCACTAGCTCATGGGAAAAGAGAGGGGTTAAGGGAAATGTCATTGTGGCTTAGCCTGAGAAAGATGCCTCTATAGTTTCCATAGCAAATTGTTTGAGCTCTCTGTCCATGTGTGTCCAGTACACTACAGCGCTAGGTGTCATATTCATTAATGCACACCTTAGAAAAATGCTTTGCAATGGAAAACCACAACAAGCGTTTACTATTGCAAAAGTTCAGGTAGTCCCTCCCTGTTTCAGTCCCTTTTCATCCGTTTGATGCCTAGTGAATACGACCCTGTTCTCTGTAGCTTGTGTAATATCACTTAAAAGGAAGGGAAGTGGTCATTTGTCTGTGTGACAGAGAACGGGGCTGGCTCACCTCTGCCTTGGCTTGTGTTTACAGTCAGTGTAATGACTCTAATCACTGCTAGAAATCTCCATATGGACTCTGACAGGATTCAGGAAGTGCTGTAACCAATCCCTTTCATCTTCTGGACATCTAGCAGCACAGCAGGAACCTGGGTATAGATTTTGCTTTGGTGCATTGTTTAACGTAACCATGTTCAACATCAATCATGGGGTACCTAGAAGGGCAAAGTAAGTATTAAGTTAAGACTTTATGAAATATGACACTGACATGCACTCACCTCACACCTTTCCTCTCAACACCCAGTTCTCAGGGGAAATGGAAAGAGAGCCTGTGACCTGACTTCCTCTTTTGGACTTTAACAAGGCGACACTCCATCTTAACTCCTCCTCCACATTTACTGGACTGGTTGAACAGCACAGAAGATAACCTCCCCCGACAGTTTTTTTCTCGTCAGGACCAGAAAGAAAGGAACGCCGCTATTTTACGCCTGCTACATTAGGTTACTAGTACATAGAAGGGCAGGACACACTACATTTGAGTTTCAGAGAGTTCAAGCAGTAATGGACAGTGAGTGGGTATGGACCTGCACTACCTCCTAGAAAGTCAGTTGTGAAACTTCTTTCTGAGGGGACTGCCCTTTCAAATGACCTCAGAGAAACAGGTCTTTATATGTGTGCTGCCAGTACAGTCCGAGGCAGTGGCCCCCAGGACCAGGCAGCGCTATTAAAGACAGGATTATCTGAAACCGTACAGGGAGACAAAACCCCACAGAACCCCCGCCAGCTCAGCGCTGCTGACAAGTCACGGTATGGATTTTCTCCTGCTGTGACAGCCCCTTATGACAGGTCCCCAAGACGATCACATGGGGCATTTGTACAGCTCGAAGGCTTAAGTCAAGGCCATGTTGTTAAGACATCTCTGGAGGAGTTCTCAGGGGCTGAGTAAGACAAGCGGTATCCAACAGGGTGTTTGCATGGATGTAGTGGTTGGTTGAGGAGACGTCCTAATGCTCCATGTCAGCTGACTGAGTCCAGAGAGAGAGGAAAAACTGCATTCCTCTGTAGAGGGGCTCTTACAGGTCACAGGTTTCACACAACACACTATATATTATTAGGAGAAATTATATGTTTTCTTATGCAAATCAGTGAAAACGCTATTATGTCCTTGTATCTGATGTTGGGGGCCAAAGGGTGTGTTTTTGTATGTGAATGCCATGTCTCTAGTGACCAGAGCCACGTGGTAACATGTCACATTGTTGTGATGTTAAACATGTTAAGATTCTCACCTGCGCTCAGATTTGGGTGTTAACATAGGTCTACTACTATTCTTGTCTTCCACCAACTACCTCATATTAGAAACCTTGTTTGAAATGGAGCAGTCTTCCAGCAGGCAGTTGTCTTGGCTTTGGCTGCAGCCAGTAATACTGTATCTGACACAGAATGAAGTTCAGACAACAGTGCAGTGGAGAAAGTGTGTTCCCCTACCGGGAGTCGAACCTGGGCCGCCAAGGTGTAAACAAGGAATCCTAACTGCAAGACCAGGGTTCCCCAACTGGTGGCTCGCGGGCCTAATTTGGCCTGCGGGTGATTTTATTTGTCACCTCAAGTATTCTGAGATTTAAAAAATAATATTGTTGGACATAAAAGACTGTAAAAACACCAGCAAATCCGCTCCAAGTGATTGGAAATCTGTTCCAAAGTATTCCCACGCATTATAGATAGATATATGGGCTCCCGAGTGGTGCAGTGGTCTAAGGCACTGCATCTCAGTGCTTGAGGCGTCACTACAGACCCCCTGGTTCGATTCCAGGCTGTATCACAACCGGCCGTGATTGGGCGGCGCACAATTGGCCCAGCGTCGTCCGGGTTTGACCGTTGTAGGCCGTCTGTCACGATCGTTGAACGGAGTAGACCAAGGCGCAGCGTTGAAGGCAAACATACTTTATTATCCAAAGTGATAACACGAACAAAACAATAAACGAATAACGTGACGTCCTAGGTTAAACAACCAACACGGAAGAAACCAAAAGGAACAAGATCCCACAACTACTGTGGGAAAACAGCCTGTTTAAATGTGGTTCCCAATCAGAGACAACCAGCAACAGCTGACACTCGTTGCCTCTGATTGAGAACCACACTGGCCAACATAGAAATGAAACAACTAGAACTCAAACACAGAACACAAACACATAGAATCTACACACCCTGGCTCAACATATAGAGTCCCCAGAGCCAGGGTGTGACACCGTCATTGTAAATAAGAATTTGTTCTTAACTGACTTGCCTAGTTAAATAAAGGTAAAATAAATAAAGGTACATTTGCAGTCTACAAATTATTTGTAAATATGTTCTGGCACCCTGACCATCCGCTCCAGAAAAAAATTAATCTAGTTGATGATCCCTGCGCTAGACCATATGGGAAGATATTACAAAACACAATACTTATTTATTCTCTTTTATGGGGTCAGTGCAGGTGAATTGTTGATTGGTTAAGTTGTTGAACCTGTTCAGTGAGTCTTCCTCCCCCTCCGCCCATTCTTGACTCCTCTTTTCTCTGTGTGTTTTTGCAGGTTAACCTCCGCTCCCCGTTGAACAATGAGAGCTATCAGGAGCGTCTGGTTCGCTTAGAGGGGGACAAAGAGTCTCTGGTTCTCCAGGTAAGGTGCTGCTGTCATCTCTCAGCCCCACCGTGACTCTTGCAGGATTAGCGTTTCACTTTTAGAGAGACGAGAGAGGGGGGGTGGGGTGGGGTGGGCATAGAGAGAGAGAACCTGACCACTGTGCCTGAACCAAAATTAAGGAAAGCTTTGACTATGTACAGACTCTGTGAGCATAGCCTTGCTATTGAGAGACTCCGCCGTAGGAGAAATACCACAGTGTGCCATCACAGCAGCAAGATGTGTGACCAGAGAGAGAGAGAGAGAGAGAGAGAGAGAGGTGAGACTGTCCAGGGCAGGCAATGGGGCTGGAGGCTGTTGTGTGTAGCACAGGAGCTCAGTCACACAGTACGCCCCTAGTTTCTTGTTTTTCCCAAACAAACGTGTCTGGACAATGCCTCTGTCTTTGGTTGTACTGTGATTTGTCACGATGCTCCATGTTTTTTTACATCTGTGTAATTGGTAGCTTCTACATCTGTAATCTAGGCTACACAGTGTATATTTATATGTTCTCTCTTTCTACAGTAGTTCCTCCTCGGGCTCTGTCATGTCTTGTCTGCCTCAACGTGTGCTGCTCATAACTAGCTTTATCGTAGCCTTGTGCCAAAGTAGCCCTTTCTTTCGCACACGCCAGTACATTCCTCAAGCCCCTCTGACAAACGCTGCTGATTGGCCAACGGGCCTGTGCCAGTTGACTGATAAAATGATTGGCTGCCACCTCCCCTAAGGTGCTTTACTGCTTTGCTTTCCCCTTTACCTGCTTCCTTGTGGGCTGGCCAGAGTTGACCCACCAAGACAAAGAAAGAGGCTAAGTTTACTCAGCTCAGTTTTTGTAATTCAGTGAACCATGTCAAGTCAAGGGTAGGTTATCTTTCATGATATTTCACATTGGCTGTTGACATAGAGTTCTACGCCGGCTGAGGAATGAAGTGAAACTACCGGTGTGTTGTCAGAGGAATTAGTGCTATTAGCATACGGGTAGTTCCAGTCCAGAGCAGGCGAGAGGAGGTATTTCTCAATGTGAGTAAGGTGTCCTGTCTGTGGGTTGTACTGTAGGTGAGTGTGCTCACAGACCAGGTGGAGGCCCAAGGAGAGAAGATCAGAGACCTGGAGAGCTCTCTGGAGGAGCACCATCACAAACTCAACTCCACTGAGGAAATGCTACAGCAGGTAAGAGAGAGACACTACTACCACTACTTTACCTGTGCTCAGCATATTAGCTTGGAGTTAAATATTGATGTTTTCAACCTCTACTTGTTTCCTACATAACTAAGTCTTGTTTTAGTCTTAGATTAATTGAATTGACTGTATTTTGTAAATGTGTGATTTATAGCACATTTAAAGATTACAATGTTCTGTAGCTTAGTGACAAATGGAACCAACAACCTGTTCTTTTTCTGTTTCCTTTAGTGTGAAGTAGGTGTGTGGTAAATTAGTAACAAGAGGTGTGGTTTCATTCATGCCATTCTTACTAACATAGAATTCTGTCGCTTCCTGTGAGTGACTCACCTCGATTGCACAACGTTTGTCACTCAGAAGATGGAGGGATAGCTTTCAAAGTTCACTATCTTTCAATCTTACAAGGTTACTTTCTCTGGCTGACTGACTCCATGGCATTATAAGAGCAGAGATATTTATTGTAGTGGCCTCCACTAAGAGCAGACTGCATAATCTTACAATAATTACAGCATATTCTTTCTGAAGCTAGAGCAGCACATAAAAATGGAGGGAAAATAAGACTTTCTCACAATTTCCTCTCAATGCACACAGTTTAGGTGCACCCATACTAAAATAAATGTAGCTGTGTGTACCAGGACAGGCTGCCAAGCAGGCTTTGGATCTTCAAAATTGTAGAGGTCTTGTCTCTGCCTTATGCACCAGCAGGTATGAAGAAGGCACTAGGAAGTAAGTCAGTCAGTGCACCATGTTTGTTGTGGAAAGGTAGGGAGGGAGACAGGGTGAGAGTTGTCCAGTTTGTGCTCTGACTGTCAGAGACGGGAGTGAGGGGGTGTGAGAGAAAGGATCGCTTGAGCTACATCTGCTGACATCTCTTATCAGGCTGTTACGTGCATTCCAAACACTGGAACACAAAGCTACCCAATTTAAGAATCAAAAAGCCTGTTTAGTTCCCCATAAATGTCAGTGATAAAAAAATATTTTGTTTTTTTATCAGTTTTATTGGCCTCAAATGCCAAGCAGATTGTGTTGCTTTGATTTTGTTGCCTTTGTACATAGGCACAGGTCTAGGGGAAAACCTTTCTTCCCCCTGAGAAATACTATTTCCTTTTATTACATTATCTCACAAGGTCATGCTGAATATACAGTGGGGGAAAAAAGTATTTAGTCAGCCACCAATTGTGCAAGTTCTCCCACTTAAAAAGATGAGAGAGGCCTGTAATTTTCATCATAGGTACACATCAACTATGACAGACAAATTGAGATTTTTTTTCTCCAGAAAATCACATTGTAGGATTTTTAATGAAATTATTTGCAAATTATGGTGGAAAATAAGTATTTGGTCACCTACAAACAAGCAAGATTTCTGGCTCTCACAGACCTGTAACTTCTTCTTTAAGAGGCTCCTCTGTCCTCCACTCGTTACCTGTATTAATGGCACCTGTTTGAACTTGTTATCAGTATAAAAGACACCTGCCCACAACCTCAAACAGTCACACTCCAAACTCCACTATGGCCAAGACCAAAGAGCTGTCAAAGGACACCAGAAACACAATTGTAGACCTGCACCAGGCTAGGAAGACTGAATCTGCAATAGGTAAGCAGCTTGGTTTGAAGAAATCAACTGTGGGAGCAATTATTAGGAAATGGAAGACATACAAGACCACTGATAATCTCCCTCGATCTGGGGCTCCACGCAAGATCTCACCCCGTGGGGTCAAAATGATCACAAGAACGGTGAACAAAAATCCCAGAACCACACGGGGGGACCTAGTGAATGGCCTGCAGAGAGCTGGGACCAAAGTAACAAACCCTACCATCAGTAACACACTACGCCGCCAGGGACTCAAATCCTGCAGTGCCAGACGTGTCCCCCTGCTTAAGCCAGTACATGTCCAGGCCCGTCTGAAGTTTGCTAGAGTGCATTTGGATGATCCAGAAGAGGATTGGGAGAATGTCATATGGTCAGATGAAACCAAAATAGAACTTTTTGGTAAAAACTCAACTCGTCGTGTTTGGAGGACAAAGAATGCTGAGTTGCATCCAAAGAACACCATACCTACTGTGAAGCATGGGGGTGGAAACATCATGCTTTGGGGCTGTTTTTCTGCAAAGGGACCAGGACGACTGATCCGTGTAAAGGAAAGAATGAATGGGGCCATGTATCGTGAGATTTTGAGTGAAAACCTCCTTCCATCAGCAAGGGCATTGAAGATGAAACGTGGCTGGGTCTTTCAGCATGACAATGATCCCAAACACACCGCCCGGGCAACGAAGGAGTGGCTTCGTAAGAAGCATTTCAAGGTCCTGGAGCGGCCTAGCCAGTCTCCAGATCTCAACCCCATAGAAAATCTTTGGAGGGAGTTGAAAGTCCGTGTTGCCCAGCGACAGCCCCAAAACATCACTGCTCTAGAGGAGATCTGCATGGAGGAATGGGCCAAAATACCAGCAACAGTGTGTGAAAACCTTGTGAAGACTTACAGAAAACGTTTGACCTGTGTCATTGCCAACAAAGGGTATATAACAAAGTATTGAGAAACTTTTGTTATTAACCAAATACTTATTTTCCACCATAATTTGCAAATAAATTCATTAAAAATCCTATAATGTGATTTTCTGGATATTTTTTTCTCATTTTGTCTGTCATAGTTGACGTGTACCTATGATGAAAATTACAGGCCTCTCTCATCTTTTTAAGTGGGAGAACTTGCACAATTGGTGGCTGAATAAATACTTTTTTCCCCCACTGTAAATACTAAATGTGGTTATATAGGAGAGACCACAGCCACTATCTACTGTCTACAGCGCTCTGTGGTGTGACTGGGAATTGTCAGCTGGACCCTAGTGTTAGACCTCCATTGATAACCAGACATTGTCGATCTTCACATTGTTTGGCCCCATTGAAGTTTTAATGAGATCTGTTCAAACAATGAGTATGTTTACATGCACAGTAATAATTCAATATTAAACTGATTATGGCAGTAGGCAGATTATTACTCTGCTTATCTAAATCGGAGTACGGTCAAAATCGAAGTAAGCATAGAATGATTAAAACACCTGGTTTTCTGAGCAATCTTTCAAATTATTAGGACATGTAAACACCTTAATCGGCGTTCCAGTGGTGTATATGATCTGTGCATGTTCTAGCACCAGCCGAGCGAGCCTCCCTCTTTAGCGCGAGTCAATTGACTTCAGAACAACTGTATGTATGCGTCTTAGAAGTAGTTTTCACATTCAACTCGGAATCAAATATGCTTCCCAAAAATAACATGGTTGTTTTGGAAGAATGTTTATTTTGATTGGTCATTTTCTGCATTTATCAGAGTGCCATTAGGAAGCCTGATTTCAGATGTGTCCATGTAAACAGGATTATTAGGGAAATCGTTCTTCTTGCACAGCATAATCAAACTATTATCTTAATCTGACTATCCACAATAATCACAATAATCACATGCATGTAACCATACTCATTGTGTGGGGTGTTATTAGGCCTGGTGAATTTATAGGTTATTCTTTGTCACTGCTGTTCTGAACCTGGAACGGAGATGGCTATTCTGAGTCTCAAGAGAATGATTATCAGTATCTGCTGCCAGTTCCAGTAAAAGCTAATGATTGAGTGTGTTGGGCAGATTATTTCATCAATAGACTCATCAGACCTATACTTACTCAGAGCCACATGCCACTGAGGGATGCCAGTACAACAGAGTCCAATCAAGCCTAGATAAACGGATAGTTCTAGTTCCTACATTAGGTAAACGATTAGTTCTATTTCACTTGCTTTGGCAATGTAAACATTGGTTTCCCATGCCAATAAAGCCCATTGAATTGAATTGAATTGAATAGTTGGATATCAGTAGGCCACAGCCTGCATGTGTTTCAGTTCATAATTAGCTCAAAAGAAGGATTTCAACAGGCTTAGTTAGCTGCAGCATTAGCTGATAGGCTTTCACAGAAAATACCTTCAAATTGCTTCTAAATTCTCAGCTGATCCCGCTCGAAGTTATGCTGGTGTTGGGTTGCAAATGTCACAGGGTGCCATAACTTATTTAACAGCTTTCATTTTCAATGTATTTCCCTTGAGCTGTGGTGATTATAGGGGTTTACACAGTCAGTCTATGTGTCTATCTGGTGGTGTGTAGTTGTTCTTTTCCATGTGATGTCACATATATTTAGAATAGCTTATTGCAGATCATTAGGCCTATGTATAGTTGCCTGGTAAGGGACACCTAATTCAGAAGTATGATGGGAAGTTATTTTGATGACAAGTGATAGTGAATCTTGGTCTGTAGTAGAGAGAGTAAGTAGTATCATTCGCTGGAACAGGAAGCAAAATCAGCCTCTAGTGATGAGGGGTGTTGGGAAATCCAAAGGGCGTTAGGGAAATGTGTTTACTGTGTGTGAAATCTATAGTCACAGCTCACACACACACACACACACACACACACACACACACACACACACTCTCTCTCTCTGATTCTATCCACAGTGACAGTCTATGTCACTTAGGTCTTTTGACAGTTTTTAGAGACTGTTTCTCACTTAGGATTCTGTGTCTCACTTGTTCTTGATCTCTCGCTCTGTCTGTCTCTCTCTCTCGCCCCCCCCCCCCCCCCCAAAAAAAAACTCTCTCTCTCTCTCTGTCAGACAGAGGAGGTCAACATAGAGCCACGTAGCATTGTGTGTATTTAGCGGAGCAGGGCCCTGGCTCCCAGGCTGAACTGTTGGTTTGGGGAAACTTTGTGCCCAGTGGAGCGGCGACTGACTTTGTACTGCACTCTGGTCACCCTGGTCAGTGGATGCATTTTGTGTGTGTGTGTGTGTAGGGGAGTGTTAATGTGTGTGTCTCTGTGGCTGTGTGCGGCACAGGAGCTGCTGAGCCGAACCTCATTGGAGACCCAGAAACTAGATCTGATGGATGAGGTTTCCTACCTGAAACTGAAGCTGGTCGGCATGGACGAGGAACAGAACCACAACGACAGCAGCGAGGACCAACAGAACAAAGCTGAGGTAGAGTACTGTAGTACAGGCTGGCAGGAGGGGAGAGGATGGGCATGTAAGAATCACACACTGAGCTGGTTAACCATGAAACATAACTTAAACTTGACTTAAACTCAGCCTATTCTGAAAATGAAAAGCACTCCACTCAGGGCTTTGTATGGTGGCACCATTAACCCGCAGCTGTTAACAAGAGTCCCACAAAGCCTTATGAAGTGAGCCAACTTAGTATATTTTCTAGTTCGAACAGGACTGGAATGCCAAGTGAAAAACAACATAATTCCATCAGTAGCAAGTGTGGTCTCAGTGTGGTCTCTCAGTGCCTTTACCAGCTTCATGACCCACCTGTTGTTCTCTTTGAGGCTGGCTGGGTAGAAACCACACGTGGAATGTTTATTTGATGTTGCACAGACCACAATGTGCTCTAATGTGTCAGCAGGCCTATGTAGAGCTTTCAGATACTTCAGGAGAAACTTGGCATGAAGAAAATGAAATCTCTATTACCTTGAGAATAGCAATTCACAAGTAGCCTCACTTTCAGTCTTAGAAGAGTTACATGGCTGGGGAAAAGAGACTACAGGAGTAGTGAACAAAGGATTTCAGTTAAAACGGCATAAACATGTAGGTCTGTAGGTTCACTTTGACCCATTTATATGGCCACTCCAAACCTATAGGTTTATAGTAAAGAGAAACAGGTGGTCTCCAGAGCCTGGGACACCCCAATGGGACACCCCAAGAAGATCAAACACTCTCCCTAGACAGACAGGTGGCCCCCTAGACAGGCTGTAAAGTTCCCCTCACAGGAGCACCTCCTCTGTAGGTCTGTCAGAGCCCTGGTCATCCACTGACTGGTCACCATTTTATAACTTTATTAGGAACTGCCATGACCAGACCAGCTCTGTGGCTTTCTGCTCTAGTGTATTGGGCTAATAAAGGACATGAGTCTTCCAGTTACTGTGAACAGTTACAATAATATTAGAAGTACAATTGTAACTGTTCACAGTAACTGGAAGACGTTTGTCCATTATAAGAGCTTATACAACTGTTTGATTGCAGACATTAATTCATTTAGTTCCTCTGACTGTATCCAGAGCTAAGTCAGACACGTCCGTGTGCTTGCTGGATTCCACCTCATGTTATGTGTTGCGTCATCCCTCTGGAGAAGGGGCAGGTGCGACCACATGCAGTCAGCTCAACTCCAACAACCTGACCAACTACTCCAAACAAACACCCCAGTCCAGTTCACCAGCAACAGCACCTCCGCCTCTCCTCAATGAGCCCTTTGTGCTGCTTTGTTCATTGTATCACACCCAGCTGCTCTCAAATGGCGCTGCAGCATGCGAATATGAGACCTTGAAAAAGAGGGGAGGAGGAGAGGCAGACTTTGCCTGTGATGTTGGCAGTGTTTTATCTCTCTGTCTGTCTCTCTGTCTGTCTGTCACCAGAGCCTCAGCCCAGTAACAACTCCCAGTCTATCTGTCACCAGAGCCTCAGCCCAGTAACAACCCCCAGTCTGTCTGTCACCAGAGGATCTGGCCTTGTTAAATAAACATAATTTAGTGTTGTGGACGTCCGCTGAGGCCCAGGGAACCCAAACGCCCCGGCTGCCCCAAACGGCGATTTAGAGATTGATAAGCAGGGCTGGAAATTGCCAGAGACACAAAATCTTGGCGGGGCCTAAACGAGAGCCGCTGACAGACAGTGGGCAGATGGGAAATGGCAGCGTGGAGAAGGGCAGGCTGTGCTCCAGACATTCTGGTGAGCGCAAAAAGACGCTGAACACATTTACACAGCAGATTGGACGTGAGGGGCACATTTATTCGAAATTAAATCGCTATCTGATTCAGAATCTTGCGATAACATGAGCAAACTTCTGTAACTGTTGGTAACAGTGACATTATGCAGAGTTACATTTACATTACATTTTAGTCATTTAGCAGACGCTCTTATCCAGAGCGACTTACAGTTAGTGAGTGCATACATTTTTTTAATTTTTTCCATATTGGAATCGAACCCACAACCCTGGCGTTGCAAATGCCATGCTCTACCAACTGAGCTACATCTCTGCCGGCCATTCCCTCCCTTACCCTGGACGACGCTGGGCCAATTGTGCGCCGCCCCATGGGTCTCCCGGTCGCGGCCAGCTACGACAGAGCCTGGATTGTCTTGGGGACAGAGTAGTACAGTGAAGGGAAAAAAGTATTTGATCCCCTGCTGATTTTGTAGGTTTGCCCACTGACAAAGAAATGATCAGTCTATAATTTTAATGGTAGGTATATTTGAACAGTGAGAGACAGAATAACAACAACAAAAATCCAGAAAAACTCATGTCAAAAATGTTATAAATTGATTTGCATTTTAATGAGGGAAATAAGTATTTGACCCCCTCTCAATCAGAAAGATTTCTGGCTCCCAGGTGTCTTTTATACAGGTAACGAGCTGAGATTAGGAGCACACTCTTAGAGGGAGTGCTCCTAATCTCAGCTTGTTACCTGTATAAAATACACCTGTCCACAGAAGCAATCAATCAATCAGATTCCAAACTCTCCACCATGGCCAAGACCAAAGAGCTTTCCAAGGATGTCAGGGACAAGATTGTAGACCTACACAAGGCTGGAATGGGCTATAAGACCATCGCCAAGCAGCTTGGTGAGAAGGTGACAACAGTTGATATGATTATTCGCAAATGGAAGAAACAAAATAATTGTCAATCTCCCTCGGCCTGGGGCTCCATGCAATATCTCACCTCGTGAAGTTGCAATGATCATGAAAACGGTGAGGAATCAGCCCAGAACTACACGGGAGGATCTTGTCAATGATCTCAAGGCTGCTGGGACCATAGTCACCAAGAAAACAATTGGTAACACACTACGCCGTGAAGGACTGAAATCCTGCAGCGCCCGCAAGGTCCCCCTGCTCAAGAAAGCACATATACAGGGCCGTCTGAAGTTTGCCAATGAACATCTGACTGATTCAGAGGAGAACTGGGTGAAAGTGTTGTGGTCAGATGAGACCAAAATCGAGCTCTTTGGCATCAAACTCAACTCGCCGTGTTTGGAGGAGGAGGAATGCTGCCTATGACCCCAAGAACACCATCCCCACCGTCAAACATGGAGGTGGAAACATTATGCTTTGGAGGAGTTTTTCTGCTAAGGGGACAGCACAACTTCACCGCATCAAAGGCACGATGGACGGGGCCATGTACCGTCAAATCTTGGGTGAGAACCTCCTTCCCTCAGCCATGGCATTGAAAATGGGTCGTGGATGGGTATTCCAGCATGACAATGACCCAAAACACACGGCCAAGGCAACAAAGGAGTGGCTCAAGAAGAAGCACATTAAGGTCCTGGAGTGGCCTAGCCAGTCTCCAGACCTTAATCCCATAGAAAATCTGTGGAGGGAGCTGAAGGTTCGAGTTGCCAAACGTCAGCCTCGAAACCTTAATGACTTGGAGAAGATCTGCAAAGAGGGGTGGAACAAAATCCCTCCTGAGATGTGTGTAAACCTGGTGGCCAACTACAAGAAACGTCTGACCTCTGTGATTGCCAACAAGGGTTTTGCCACCAAGTACTAAGTCATGTTTTGCAGAGGGGTCAAATACTTATTTCCCTCATTAAAACATGTGTTTCTCTGGATTTCTCTGGATTTTTTTGTTGTTATTCTGTCTCTCACTGTTCAAATAAACCTACCATTAAAATTATAGACTGATCATGTCTTTGTCAGTGGGCAAACATACAAAATCAGCAGGGGATCAAATACTTTTTTCCCTCACTGTAAGTGTTATTGACAGAGAGGGAAGCTCGTGGGTTTACCATGTAATGTACACAGCCTGTCGGGTCATGAGTCTTTGACCTCGTCCCATAAATCCATGATATCCGGGCAGAGCGGGACTCCACGCCGGTTGCGGTGCCATGGTAACCTGAAACCAGTCTGCATTTGTTTCATCCACAAACACTGTCCCTGGAAGAGACAGCTGCTAGCCTTCATGCACCAAGGGGTAATGGCAGAAATTCACTTGGAACACTCCACAAGTGCGAACATGTTCACCCCAGAGACCCCCCCTCGACCACCAAGCTCAGAACATACAGCTATATATAGAGGGGGAATGTGTCTTATCATCAGCTGTACTGTCAGTGTAACATAAACTGGGACTTTCATATGAAACTTCCTCTGTCCACAAGCTAGGCATTTCTGTCAGCGTATCCAAGATTAGGACATTAAACCACCACCCCAGCCCCTCCCTTCTCAGGGAATGGACTTTTCTACTCTAGTGAAAGATTCCAAACATAAAATCAAACGTTTGTTACCGTTTCACTTGTTTCTATCAAACAAACACTTCGGTTGAATTCTAGTTGGCCAAAATGTTAATAATCTAGTTAGGAATTTACTCGCTGTCCTTAATCTTCGAAGCCTTCCAATTCCTCAGGGAAGTAAAGGGACCTTCTGGCCAGCAGCCAGATAAGGCAGTCTTCACATTTGCACTTTGAGAACTTGCAAAGTAGCTCAGAAACTTTGTTTACGGTGCCTGGCAGTGTGACAGTTTAACTGTGTTTAACATGGCACCGTACAGATCTGCCCCCCAGAGGTCCCTTTACCCTCACCCTAGTAAAAACCACTTCTGTTATGTGTTACATCTATATATATATATATATATATATATATATATATATATATATATATATATATATATATATATATATATGGCCAAAAGTATGTTGACATGCCTTCAAATTAGTGGATTCGGCTGTTTCAGCCACTCCCGTTGCTGACAGGTGTATAAAATCAAGCAAACAGCCATGCAATCTCCATAGACAAACATTGGCTTGGCAGTAGAATGGCCCATACTGAAGAGCTCAGTGACTTTCAACGTTGCACTGTCATAGTATACCACCTTTCCAACAAGTCAGTTCGTCAAATTCCTGCCCTGCTAGAGCAGCCCCGGTCAACTGTAAGTGATGTTATTGTGAAGTGGTAGGCCACATAAGCTCACAGAACGGGACCACCCAGTGCTGAAGCGTGTAGCACGTAAAAATCGTCTGTCCTCGTTTGCAACACTCACCACCGAGTTCCAAACTGCCTCTGGCAGCAACGTCAACACAATAACTGTTCGTCGGGAGCTTCATGAAATGGGTTTCCATGGCCGAGCAGGCGCACACAAGCCTAAGATCACCATACGCAATGACAAGCGTTGCCTGGAGTGCTGTAAAGCTCGCCGCCATTGGACTCTGGAGCAGTGGAAATAAGTTATCTGGAGTGATGAATCACGCTTCAACATCTGACAGTCCGATGGACGAATCTGGGTTTGGCGGATGCCAGGAGAACGCTACCTGCCCCAATGCATAGTGCCAACTGTAAAGTTTGTTGGAGGGGGAATAATGGTCTGGGGCTATTTTTCATGGTTCGGGCTAGGCCCCTTAGTTCCAGTGAAGTGAAATCTTAACGCTACAGCATACAATGACATTATACACGATTCTGTGCTTCCAACTTTGTGGCAACAGTTTGCGGAAGGCCCTTTCCTCTTTCAGCATGACAATGCCCCCGTTCACAAAGCGAGGTCCAAACAGAAGTGGTTTGTCGAGATCGGTATGGAAGAACTTGACTGGCCAGCACAGAGCCCTGACCTCAACCCCATCGAACACCTTTGGGATGAATTAGAATGCCGATTGCGAGCCAGGCCTAATTGCCCAACATCAGTGCCCGACCTCACTAATTCTATTGTGGCTGAATGGAAGCAAGTCCCCGCAGCAATTTCAAACATCTAGTGGACAGCCTTCCCAGAAGAGTGGAGGCTGTTATAGCAGCAAAGGGGGGACCAACTCCATATTAATGCCCATGATTTTGGAATGAGATGTTCGACGAGCAGATGTCCACATACTTTTGGTAATGTAGTGTGTATATATATATATATATATATATATAAGCCTTCATGGTCGAATTGCTGCAAAGAAACCACTACTAAAGGACACCAATGAGAGGAAGAGACCTGCTTGGGCCAAGAAAACACAAGCAATGGACATTAGACCGGTGGAAATGTGTCCTTTGGGCTGGAGTCCATATTGGAGATTTTTGGTTCCAACCGCCGTGTCTTTGTGAGACGCGGTGTGGCTGAACGGATGATCTCCACATGTGTAGTTCCCACCGTAAAGCATGGAAGAGGTGTTATGGTGTGGGGGTGCTTTGCTGGTGACACTGTCTGTGATTTATTTAGAATTCAAGGCACACTTAACCAGCATGGCTACAACAGCATTCTGCAGTGATAAGCCATCCCATCTGGGCTTAGTGGGACCATCATTTGTTTTTCAACAGGACAATGACCCAACACACCTCCAGGCTGTGTAAGGGCTATTTTACCAAGAAGGAGAGTGATGGAGTGCTGCATCAGATGACCTGGCCTCCACAATCCCCCGACCTCAACCCCATTGAGATGGTTTGGGATGAATTGGACGGCAGAGTGAAGGAAAAGCAGCCAACAAGTGCTAAGCATATGTGGGAACTCCTTCAAGACCGTTGGAAAAGCATTACAGGTGAAGCTGGTTGAGAGAATGCCAAGAGTGTGCAAAGCTGTCATCAAGGCAAAGGGGTGGTTATTTGAAGAATCTCAAATGTTACTTTTTTTTTTTTTATGGTTACTACATGATTCCATATGTGTTATTTCATAGTTTTGATGTCTTCACTATTATTCTACAATGTAGAAAATAGTAAAAATAAAGAAAAACCCTTGAATGAGTAGGTGTGTCCAAACTTTTGACTGGTACTGTATAATACAGTGCTATGAAAAAGTATTTGCCCCCTTACTAATTTTCTCTACTATTGCATATTTGTGATACTGAACGACATGGTTCCAGTAATGCCTGGCGAAAACCAAACTCTGCTTTCCACAGTAAGAACATCATACCAAAGGTCAAGCATGGTGGTGGTGGTGTGATGGTTTGGGGATGCTTTGCTGCCTCAGGACCTGGACGACTTGCCTTAATAGAAGGAACCATGAATTATGCTCTGTATCAGAGAATTCTACAGGAGAATGTCAGACCATCCGTCTGTGAGCTGAAGCGCAGCTGGGTCATGCAGCAAGACAATGATCCAAAACACACAATCAAGTCAATATGAAAATTGCTAACAATCAACAAATTGGAAGTTTTGGAATGGCCTAGTCAAAGTCCAGACCTAATCCCAATTGAGATGTTGTGGCAGGACTTGAAATGAGCAGTTCATGCTTGAAAACCCACACGTCACTGAGTTAAAGCAGTTCTGCATGGAAGAGTGGGCCAAAATTCCTCCACAGCGACGTGAGAGACTGATCAACAACTACAGGAAGCATTTGGTTGGAGTCATTGCAGCCAGTTATTGTGTGTAAGGGGGCAATTACTTTTTCACACAGGGGAATTGGGTGTTGCATAACTTTGTTTATGAAATAAATATGTAATTGTTATGTTATTTGTTCACTTATGTTCCCTTTATCTAATATTAGGTTTTGGTTGAAGATCTGATAACATTCAGTATCACAAATATGCAAAAGTAGAGAAAATTAGAAAGGGGTCAAATACCTCCAATTGACTCAAATGATGTCAATTAGCCTATCAGAAGCTTCTAAAGCCATGACATAATTTTCTGGAATTTTCCAAGCTGTTTAAAAGCACAGTCAACATTGTGTATTTAAACTTCTGACCCACTGGAACTGTGATACAGTGAATTATATGTGAAATAATCTGTCTGTAAACAATTGTTGGAACAATTACTTGTGTCATGCACAAAGTAGATGTCTTAACCGACTATAGTTTGTTAAACTATAGTTTGGTAAAAAGAAATTTGTGGAGTGGTTGAAAAACGAGTTTTAATGACTCCAACCTAAGTGTATGTAAACTTCTGACTTCAACTGTATATACTGCATTTATACAGTGTGTGTATGTATGTGTGTATATATATATATATATATATATATGTTATTGTTTTTTTAACATAAAAACAAAATAACCACAGCAGTGCATATCATTTTGAATGTTTTTTTTTCTTTTCTTTTATTTTGTGTTTTGTATTTTCTTCTCCCTCTCTCAGTGTGTGGTAAATCTGATAAGCGAGCTCCAGGAGCAGATGTGTAGGTTTCAGGAGGAGATCCATACCCGCATCATGGAGAAACGGGCCATGGAGGCCCAGGGGGAGGCCCAGGGGGAGGCCCAGGGGGAGAGTGGTGCCCGCGAGGCCCACGACCAGAACCCCGACGTGGGCTTGGGTGGTTCTGACGTGGATGAGTTTTGCTGTCGCTGTGGAGGACAGAATGTAGGCAGTACCCATGGACACGCTACCCCCCTCTCTCCTAACTACCATCCTCCCTAACCTTCTAGAATCCTCTACTGGGTCTAGTACTTAACCTTTCTCCTTACAGTGACCGACGTCTCTACCTCTACTACTACAGTGTGTGGGAATCCTGTGTACTGTTTGCCTCCATATCCGGGTGTTTTTTGGTTTAGTTTGTTTTTTTGGTGTAGATCAGCTTTAATATTGCAGATTGTGGCTTCCATCAATGTAATTGTCTGCATCATTTCCAATCCCCCATATATATTTTTTGTAAATAGATATATAAAATATCCGGGTGTTAACTCATTGTAAGTGGTGTGGTGTGGTGTGTTTGCATGACTGTGGTTCACCTTATTAATGCAACCAAGGTTTACTGGTCACTGTGTCCAAATACTGGGCTTGGTTGATGGCTTATGCTCCTACCCTGTCTCTAAATGTGAGATAAATTCAAATCTATCTACTTCAGTCACTTTTTCAAAGTTTTTTATGATTTTATGAAATTGTCCAAGAAACATTATATCCTTGTTGCCAGTTTGTTTCAATATTCAGCCTTGACATAACTTTTTTTAAAGGGACCAAATGGATGCTGAAACAAACTGGCAACCAGACTAGCTAACTGACTGGTAATGGCCATAACCATTGGTCCTTTTGAGGAGCCTGAGCCATCACTACTTAGTACAGTATAGGGCAGGGGTATTCAACTCTTACCCTACGAGGTCCGGAGCCTGCTGGTTTTCTGTTCTACCTGATAACTAATTGCACCCACCTGGTGTCCCATGTCTAAATCAGTCCCTGATTAGAGGGGAACAATAAATAACAAAAGCAGTGGAACTGGCTTCGAGGTCCAGAGTTGGGTTTGAGGGGTATAGGGGCTGACTGACTGGTCACATGTTAAAAGGGTCATCTGCTGCCTTTCCTGGGATGTGGAGGTTAAACTTTTTATGTATTAACTGCACGGTGTTCTGGCTGTTAAGGGATCAAATTACGTGGGTCAACATTTGAAAACTTCCGTTCTACTTTTTGGTGTAACATGTTCATTTATAAACTGAGAGAACCATGTTTGTATCCAACATTGGTTTTTGACTGGAGAAATTGGCATTTTCGTGTGGAAGGCACAGTGAAGAGCATGGTGTTTTTGGTCTGGAGATTTTACATCAAAGGGACACAGTTATTTTCAATTAAAATGTTACAATATGTTCTGTGTTATTGACAGGGCTTACTGCAAGAACTCCGTCTCCTCAAGAGTAAAGTGGATGTGCTGGAGGTGGAGAAATCACAGTATGAGAGAAAACTAAAGGCCACAAAGGTAAAAAAAAACTTCATTTCTGTCACTTTTTTGCTTTACAGTTATCTATCTGTCAGTTTAGTTTATTCACATGGCACTTTAAGGTGACACCCACTTTAGTTGGTTTTCTAGCAAATTAATATTCCTATTTCCTTTGAAAAACATAACTGTTTCAATTTTACTTTGTTGCTCTTAGCAACTCCAATTTTGGAGGTAAACTTTGTTCCTATCTTCCAGCTTACTTTCCACCCATTCTGGCTTTCTCTCCCTCTAGCTGTCTATCTCTTGCTCTCTCCATGTGTGTTACCAGTCGCTCATGACCAAGCTCTCTAGCCTGAAACTCACTGTAGAGCACACTCAGGTGGAGAAGCAGCACTGGGAGGAGCGATGGCGGACCGCTCAGGTGCCTCTTCTTCTTCCTCACCCTAATCCCTCTTTCATGCTGACTACTCCTTCTCCTTCCCCCTCTGCTCCTGTTGTTCTCCGCCTCCACCTCACTCTGCACCTGTCCCTCTTCCTCCTCCTCATCCTCCCTTCCTCTTGTTAACACCATGGTTGTGGAATCTCATTCACCCAATCCCTCACAGGTTCAGGTGGTTCTACATTTACATTTACATTTTAGTCATTTAGCAGACGCTCTTATCCAGAGCGACTTACAGTTAGTGAATAGATATTTTTTTATGCTGGCCCCCCGTGGGAATCGAACCCACAACCCTGGCGTTGCAAACGCCATGCTCTATCAACTGAGCTACATCCCTGCCGGCCATTCCCTCCCCTACCCTGGACAACGCTGGGCCAATTGTGCGCCGTCCATGAGTCTCCCGGTCGCGGCCGGCTGCGACAGAGCCTGGATTCGAACCAGGATCTCTAGTGGCACAGTTAGCACTGCGATGCAGTGCCTTAGACCACTGCGCCACTCAGGAGTTCTACTGAGATCATGTGGGTAGAGTTTACTAGGAGTATTGTCATCTGTATGACTAGCCACTGTACGGAATCCATATGAGGAACATTCCTCTGATGATGTTCCTAATATGGATTCCATACCATTTTCTACTTTTAGTTAAATAATGGGGAATTATACTGAACAAAAATATAAATGCAACGATTATACGAGGTACAGTTCATATAAGGAAATCATTAGGGCCTAATCTATGGATTTCACATGACTGGGCAGGGGCACAGCCATGGGTGGGCCTGGGGAGCCAGGCCCAGTCAATCAGAATGAGTTTTTCCCCACAAAAGGGATTTATTACAGACAGAAATACTCCTCAGTTTCATCAACTGTCCGGGTGGCTGGTCTCAGACGATGTGGTGAAGAAGCCGGATGTGGAGGTCCTGGGCTGGCGTGGTTACACGTGGTCTGCAGTTGTGAGGCCGGTTTGACGTACTGCCAAATTCTCTAAAATGACGTTGGCGGCTTATGGTAGAGAAATTAACATTCAAAATCTCTGGCAACAGCTCTGGTGGACATTCCTGCAGCCAGCATGCCAATTGCACACTTCCTTAAAACTTGAGACATCTGTGTCATTGTGTTGTGTGACAAAACTGCACATTTAAGAATGGCCTATTATTGTCCCCAGCGCAAGGTGCACCTGTCTATGATCATGCTGTTTAATCGGGTTCTGTCAGGTGGATGGATTATCTTGGCAAAGGAGAAATGCTCACAAACAGAGATGTAAACAAATTTGTGCTGAATATTTGAGAGAAATAAGCTTTTTGTGCATATGGAACATTTCTGCGAACTTTTATTTCAGCTCATGAAACATGGGATCAACACTTTACATGTTGGGTTTATATTTTTGTTCTGTGTATTTATAAAATATTCCTCCAAAATAAGGATATGTACATTGTTTTCTATATCTACGGGGGAGAATGAGAGAGAAAAAGAGAAACAAACAAATAGAGAAAAGGGAAGAGAGACCAAGCGAGCAATGCTTTTGACATTGACTCGTTCCGACAGCTCAATATTACTCCCCCGTCCTCCCCGACCAAGAACTAATAATACAGAACTTGGCATGCTTCAATTGCTATCTGTTATTCAATGTACGGGTTCTGCAGAAGCGAGCTGAAGGGGGTCGAGGGGGCGATACGTGCATGTCTTAGGCTGCAGACAGACTGCCATGTTTAGAAGATCTATCTATCTGGCTATACGCTGTGCTCATCCAGAGGAGACGACTCACAAGTGTTTGTTTGTGTGGGCGTGAATGGTAGATGATCGACTCTGAGACTTCCGACCATTAAGTTCACTGACCAAGTGCATGACCCCCTATAGGAGTCTCTGTGGCCATTGACTACCACCCACACAGGCTCCAGGCAGTTAAGCCAGAATGGTCGTAGGCAGGCAGGCAAACAATCACCATGCTGACCTCCAGGCTGCCCCATAGGCTATCATTGGATTAGTGAGGTACCCTTTTTAATGTGCATGTGGTCTATTGGGTTTGTACCAGGGGTTGGAACCGGTTCAGGGAACAGAACAGAAAACCGGAAAATAACGAACTTTTTCGAGGAACAGAATCAGAACCGGGAACGAAAGTGATCTATACTGTTCCGGAACAGAACTGTTATTTTAAAAGCATGGGAACCGGATAATAACGTTATTTTACGTTCCCACAAAAAACACAACAAAGCGCCTATGCAAAGCCCTCACTCTGTCACTCAGAAATGTATTCCAGTGTCTGCCTGCTAGCTGGAAGTCTTTGCCAGCGTGTGTGCATGTGTAGGCAATCTGCCCCTCCCCCTCCAAAGCTTAAGCTACTGTAGCCTACTGACGTTACAAGCGTGATTCAGAAAATAGGGAGAGATTTTTATTTCAAGAAGAATGGATTCCATTTTTCAATGCTAGTTATGGATATCACATTTCACATTGGATTTATTAACTACAAAAAGGTAAGAGGTGTTTTTAATTCTGGTGCCGCTCTGCACACACAAGCTTGTTAGCTAGCTAGATAGCTAGCTCTGGTCCAACTTTAAGCCAACGCTCGGATGTTCAAAGACATTAAAAGTTCCTCCATAGAAGCCGCTCCTCTGTAGATATTATTCTGTGGGCCTAATTCAGATAATGCATTTCATAACAATGCCCAGCGCACCAAGACCTCTCTAACTCTCTCTCCACACGCAAAATTTCACCTCCTACACTTGTCTGTCCATCGCGCATGTAAACAACTAAAGCCTAGGCAGCTGATAGATCGGCTGCCTAGTCTAAAACAACTATAGCTTGCCCGCTCCATAGCAAGCTGCTCCATCCACAAGTCATTTAATGTCGAGCTAATGAAAAGAAAAAAGTCAATTTCAGAGGTTTAAAAAGGAACATAAAGGAACAATATAAATCTGTACTTTTTGGGGGGTTCAAACCGGTTTCAAAACTTTATTTTGCAGGTCGAAACAGTGGAATGGAACAAAAAATATAATTTCAGTTCCAACCCTTGGTTTGTACTGCAGTGGTGAAGTGTACTGTTGTGCTCTCATCCAGCCTCATTCTCCAGTTCTGTCTACTACTGAACCTTATTCCAAACCCCATTGCTCAACCCTAACCCTGTGTGTTACCAGAGAAGGATTGCTGCCCTTGTGTTTAAAGTGTTTGACTACAATAGATACAGAGCTTTTTATTGACTTTTTATTGACTTCAAACTGAATTGATCAGTATTTGTTTGTCCTCCCTACGACACTAAGGACTTAATCAGGACACCCCTCTTATGCTTTTCCTCATTGACGAAGACTTCATTGCCCTGTCACCTTGGACCTACAGTGGGGTCCGAAATTATTGGCACCCTTGATAAAGATGAGCAATAATGACTGTATAAAATAAATAATTCAAATACTGAGCTACACTACATGACCAAAAGTATGTGGACACCTGCTCGTCGAATATCTCATTCCAAAATCATGGGCATTAATATGGAGTTGGTCCCCCCTTTGCTGCTATAACAGCCTCCACTCTTCTGGGAAGGCTTTCCACTAGATGTTGGAACATTGCTGGGGGGGACTTGCTTCCATTCAGCCACAAGAGCATTATTGAGGTCAGGAACTGATGTTGGGCGATTAGGCCTGGCTCACAGGCGTTCCAATTCATCCCAAAGGTGTTCGATGGGGTTTAGGTCAGGTCACTGTGCAGGCCAGTCAAGTTCTTCCACACCGATCTCGACAAACCATTTCTGTATGGACCTCGCTTTGTGCACAGGGTCATTGTCATGCTGAAACAGGAAAGGGCCTTCCCCAAACTGTTGCCTCAAAGTTGGAAGCACAGAATCGTGTAGAATGTCATTGTATGCTGTAGCGTTAAGAACTGGAACTAAGGGGCCTAGCCCGAACCATGAAAAACAGCCCCAGACCATTATTCCTCCTCCACCAAACTTTACAGTTGGCACTATGCATTGGGGCAGGTAGCGTTCTCCTGGCATCCGCCAAACCCAGATTCGTCCGTCGGACTGCCAGATGAAGCGTGATTCATCACTCCAGAGAATGCGTTTCCACTGCTCCAGATTCCAATGGCGGCGAGCTTTACAGCACTCCAGCCGACGCTTGGCATTGCGCATGGTGATCTTAAGCTTGTGTACGGCTGCTCGGCCATGGAAACCCTTTTCATGAAGCTCCCAATAAACAGTTATTGTGCTGACGTTGCTTCCAGAGGCAATTTAGAACTCGGTAGTGAGTGTTGCAACCGAGGACAGACGATTTTTACACGCTACGCGCTTCAGCACTCGCCGGTCCCATTCTGTGAGCTTGTGTGGCCTACCACTTCGCAGCTGAGCAGTTGTTGCTCCTAGACGTTTCCACTTCACAATAACAGCACTTACAGTTGACCGGGGCAGCTCTAGCAGGGCAGAAATTTGACGAACTGACTTGTTGGAAAGGTGGCATCCTATGACGGTGCCACGTTGAAAGTCACGGAGCTCTTCAGTACGGCCATTCTACTGCCAATGTTTGTCTATGGAGATTGCATGGCTGTGTGCTCGATTTTATACACCTGTCAGCAACGGGTGTGGCTGAAATAGCCGAATCCACTAATTTGAAGGGGTGTCCACATACTTTTCTATAATGTATGCAAAAAAAAATTGGGGGAAAATTATATTATTGTATACTAATACAATTGCTCAGAGAAGGAGATTTTGTTTAACAAGTAAAAAATAATAATCATATAATCAAAAATATCATAAAGGAAGGAGTAAAAATTATTGACATCCCTAAAGAGTTGTATAAATAAAGTAGTCAAAAGTTTAGTATTTGGTCCCATATTCCTATCACCCAATGAATACATCAATCTTGTGACTTTACAAACTTGTTGGATATATTTCAGTTCGTTTTGGGTTTGTTTCAGATTATTTTGTGCCCAGTAGAAATTAATGGCAAATAATGTATAATTGTGTCACTTTTATTGTAAATAAGAATGGAATATGTTTTTAAACACTTCTACTTTAATGTGGATGCTACCATGATTACGGATAATTCGGAATGAATCGTGAATAAGGATGAGTGAGAAAGTTATAGCAGGTCAAAGATCATACCCCCAAGACTAACCTCCCCTGTTATTGGTAATGGTGAGAAGTTAGCATTCTCTTTCGCTGAGCAGTTGTATTAGTATAAAATAATATACACTGAGTGTACAAAACATTAAGAACACCTTCCTGATATTGAATTGCACCCCCTTTTGCCCTCAGAACAGCCTCAATTCGTCGGGGCATGAACTCTACAAAGTGTCAAAAGCGTTCCACAGGGATGCTGGCCCATGTTGACTCCAATGCTTCCCACAGTTGTGTCAAGTTGGCTGGATGTCCTTTGGGTGGTGGACCATTCTTGATACACACGGGAAACTGTTGAGTGTGAAAAACTCTGTAGCGTTGCAGTTGTTGACACACTTAAACCAGTGCAGATTTAGATAAGGGATCATAGCTTTCACCTGGTCAGTCTATGTCATGGAAAGAGCAGATGTTCCTAATGTTTTTTACACTCAGTGTAATTCCCCCCCCCCCCCCCCCCCCCCAAAAAAAAAAATGTGCCTACAATATACAACTCAGTATTTGAATGATTTATTTTGCACAGTCATTATTGGTCATATTTATCAAGGGTGTCAATCATTTCAGACCCCACTGTATAGTGTATGAGACCAAGGGCTCTATTCAATCTGCATCGCGGAAGTTCAGCTTTACAGCGTGATTGAAATTTAAAGGCAATGTTCCCGCTTTAGCATAGACTGCATTCAGGGTAAACGCTGCATATGTCGTCTCAATCAGAAATGACCTTTACATTTCTATCGCGGAATCTGTAACGCTTCAGCTTTACAGATTGAATAGAGCCCCTAATGTCATAATCAAATCAACGTTTATTGGTCGCGTACACCGATTTGCAGATGTTATCGCAGGTGCAGCGAAATGCTTGTGTTTCTAGCCCCAATAGTGCAGTAATACCTAGCAATAAATAACAATACACACATAATACAAATTAAATAAAAACATTTCAGAAATATCCGAACGAGCAATGTCAGAGTCCGGAATATAAATATAAATATATATACATATAGTGGTGTGCATAGATGGTATGGACAGTATATGTTTAGAAAAGGTATGTATAGCAATAGTTATATAGGATGAGCCATGACTAGAATGCAGTATATACATATAAAGTGTGTAAAATAGAATTTAAACTTTATTAAAATGACCAGTGTTCAATGACTATGTACATAGGGCAGCAGTCTCTAAGACGCAGGGTAGAGTACCGAGTGGTAGCCAGCTAGTAACAGTAACAGTGACTAAGGCTCAGGGCAGTGGTGACTGTTTAACAGTCTGATGGCCTGGAGATGGAAGCTGTTTTTCAGTCTCTCGGTCCCAGCTTTGATCGCACCTGTATGGTCTCCGCCTTCTAGATGGTAGCGCGGTGAACAGGCCGTGGCTTGGATGGCTGTGGTTGTAAACATGCAGGATTGACTTGTATCACTCCATTGACCGTGACCCTCTTTCTACAGACGGAGATATCAGACCTACAGCAGATACTGGCTTCCAAAGACTCTGAGATCGAGGGCCTACAGAGACAGCTAGTCTCCAGAGGCCCAATGACCAATGAGAACCCAGAGAGAGGTAAATTTACCTGTCAAACACACATCATACATCAACAGTAACAAACACCAGGTGACTGACCATTTTAACGCATAATGTCATTACTTCAGCTGGTCCACCTCAAACTAAATATCATCCACTAATGCTTATTCTATTGTCAGGGCAGGGGGAACTTTGATCATTGACATTTGATAATAATAACTAATTATACATATTGAACCCAAGTTATGGTTGTTTCGAGATTGGATTTTAAATTAAGCTAGTCATCTGCATGTGTGACGTCAGGTATGGTGCCTCATTCAAATAATACCTAACAAATGTCCTCTCTCTGCCCCCTCCACTGTTGTCTTTTTATGCTATGCTGCCCCCTGCTGTAGTGGAGGTCTTTAGGAGACTGCTGACAGACAAATGTAAGGCCCTAGTCTGACTAAGCTCGTGTAGTTGTGGCCATTGTGCAATTCTGCTCCGCCGTCACAGCCTCTCTGTTCTGCTGTCTAATCCACGCTGGCATGCTGTCATGTCTGTCACACCCATTCCATCAGCCCTGGCAGATACAGAGGAGAGAAGGGAAGCTCTGACACATCCTCCTCATACTCACACCCATGAGAACAGTCACTCCTCTTTCCCATAGGGCTGTTCATTTAGCTCTCGTTTTGTCGTCTATGACGCTAAGGTCACTAGGCCAACCATATGAGACCTGTTTTATTTCAGAATTTAAAGGTGCAATCTGCAATATTTCGGCTAAAGCTGGCCAATTTACATCTCAGTTAATGATATACCCATTGAAGAATATAACTTATAAATGCCTCATGAGCTCATGATTACAACTTGATTTAGGGGTGGACTTGAGGCCCTTACACTAGCTAATTTTTTTCCCTCGAGGCTCCCACACCGGGCCATTTTTTTTCCTTGAGGCCACCAGTATTAGCCAGATAATATTGTGCAAAAACCCAAACTTAGACTGGCCCTCTGGGCTAAAGATGGACCAGCCCATCTGTTGTTTGCAGTCCACTCCTCTGTCTCTCTGCCATCTTGCGCCCTTTCCATCAGAGTTATGAACAGTTTATATTTATAAATTATTGCTCTTATTACTTTTTTTTTTTCTTCTGGTTTTCAGACCAAGAATTCCAAAGGTTGAAAATGGGGATGGAGACTTTGTTAGCGGCAAATGATGAAAAGGTATGTTTAAAAAATATCTGTTGTATAGTGTGTATAATGTGTTATCATATTATAATTTCTTGAAGTTATACAAAGTGAAGGTATGTTATTAAAGTCCTTTCTGTTTGTGTCAGGACCGTCACATAGAGGAGCTCACTGTTCTCCTGAGACAGTACAGGAAGATGAAGGAGGTGATGGCCCTCGCTCAAGGTAATACACATTCACTGCTTATACATACCTACTGCTTATATACTGTACACACTCACTGCTTATACACACTCACTGCTTATATACTGTACACTCACTGCTTATACACACTCACTGATTTTATACTGTACACACTCACTGCATATACACACTCACTGCTTATACACTGTACACACTCATTGCTTATACACACTCACTGCTTGTACACACTCACTGCTTATATACTGTACACACTCACTGCTTGTACACACTCATGCTTATATACTGTACACACTCACTGCTTATACACACTCACTGCTTATATACTGTACACACTCACTGCTTATACACAGTCACTGATTTTATACTGTACACACTCACTGCTTATATACACTCACTGCTTATATACTGTACACACTCACTGCTTTACACACTCACTGCTTGGACACACTCACTGCTTATATACTGTACACACTCACTGCTTTACACACTCACTGCTTGGACACACTCACTGCTTATATACTGTACACACTCACTGCTTATACACACACTCACTGCATATACACACTCACTGCATATACACACTCACTGCTTATACACACTCATTGCTTATATACACTCACTGCTTATATACTGTACACACTCACTGCTTGTACACACTCACTGCTTATTTACTGTACACACTCACTGCTTATACACACTCACTGCTTATATACTGTACACACTCACTGCATGTACACACTCACTGCTTATACACACTCACTGCTTGTACACACTCACTGCTTATATATTGTACACACTCACTGCTTGTACACACTCACTGCTTATACACTGTACACACTCACTGCTTATACACACTCACTGCTTATACACACTCACTGCTTGTACACACTCACTGCTTGTACACACTCACTGCTTATATACTGTACACACTCACTGCTTATACACACTCACTGCTTATATACTGTACACACTCACTGCTTGTACACACTCACTGCTTATATACTGTACACACTCACTGCTTTACACACTCACTGCTTATATACTGTACAAACTCACTGCATATACACACTCACTGCTTATACACACTCACTGCTTATATACTGTACACACTCACTGCTTTACACACTCACTGCTTATATACTGTACAAACTCACTGCATATACACACTCATTGCTTATACACACTCACTGCTTATATACTGTACACACTCACTGCTTATACACACTCACTGCTTATATACTGTACATACTCACTGCTTATACACACTCACTGCTTATATACACTCACTGCTTATATACTGTACACACTCACTGCTTATACACACTCACTGCTTTTATACACACTCACACTTAGAGGTGATACACATTCACTGTTTTCATATATTCAAGTATTTTTCAAACAAGCTATGTAAATAATTCCAAGAATATTGAAGATGGTATGCATTGAATGATAATGCTTAGGGGGTCATTACACTGCATTAACCCGTGTGTGTGTGTGTGTGTGTGTGTGTAGTGTCCAGTGAGAAGCTCCTGGTTGGGAGCAGTGAGGAGGAACTGAGCGGGAGTCTGAAGATGAGAGCTCTCACACATAAAGCTCATTCAGACATCATCCGGTCAGAGGTAAGAGAGCTCTATCTGCTCCTCCTCTGGGAACCACTAAACACAATACAACTAGAACCTGCATTTCTCAAGTACTCAGTGCTTGTGCCTGCCCACTCCTACATATTTCCATAGAATAGAACTAAAGCACTGGGTAGCAGTAGTACACTATATGCGTCTGTGCTCACATACCATGTCAGTGTATTAGCAGACCATCCAATGTGCATACTCAGTGTCTCTTGGTCTGAAGTGTGTCCTCTGTGCGATCTCTCCCTTTCCAGATGTCTTCCAGATGCTCCTCTCCTCTGTTAGTGTCTTCCTCATCCTTCCAGAAAGAGCTGGACTCTAGGTAAACAAACAAACTAAAAAACACTCTTCCGTAAAGCTCAGATCTGTGGAGTGTACAGCTTAAAGTGGTCCTATGGACAGATACTCCAATCTCCGCTGTGGAGCTTTGCAGCTCCTTCAGGGTTATCTTTGGTCTCTTTGTTGCCTCTCTGATTAATGCCTTCCTTGCCTGGTCTGTGAGTTTTGGTGGGCGGCCCTCTCTTGGCAGGTTTGTTGTGGTGCCATATTCTTTCAATTTGGTGCTCCGTGGGATGTTCAAAGTTTCTGATATTTTTTTAGAACCCAACCTGATCTGTACTTCTCCACAACTTTGTCCTGACCTGTTTGGAGAGCTCCTTGGTCTTCATGGTGCCGCTTGCTTGGTGGTGCCCCTTGCTTAGTGGTGTTGCAGACTCTGGGGCCTTTCATAACAGGTGTATATATACTGAGATCATGTGACACTTAGATTGCACACAGGTGGACTTTATTTAACTAATTATGTGACTTCTGAAGGTAATTGGTTGCACCAGATCTTATTTAGGGGCTTCATAGCAAAGGGGGTGAATACATATGCACGCACCACTTTTCCGTTATTTATTTTTGAGAATGTTTTGTAACAAGTTCTTTTTTTAATTTCACTTCACCAATTTGGACTATTTTGTGTACGTCCATTACATGAAATCCAAATAAAAATCCATTTAAATTACAGGTTGTAATGCAACAAAATACACACACACACACACACACACACACACACACACACACACACACACACACACACACACACACACACACACCTTTTGCTCCAGCCGTACTCCATCAGGTTTACTGTGTTCTATTGGACCTGTCCCTCTGCCACAGTATCCAGACCTCCCTGGAGACGTCCATGGTGATGGTCTCCCCGAGCGACGTTGGCTGCTTCCACAACGGACAATGGCAAGTAGAACTGAGGCTGCATGGGTGTGACAGCCAGGCTGCTCTTTGTTTTGGTTGTCTTTAATTAGGGACCCAATAAAGTGGCTGTGAGTGACCCTGTCACTGGGATGTCCCCGTCTGGCACAAACAGCCCTCTCAGACTCCTTCTCATGTAGAGCCCAGCCTGTCACATCACATTACCCACAATCCCTTCTGGAAGGTAGTGCCACAGACCACAAAGAGCACCAACCAAGAGTTGCCAACTCTTAAGACTACTGCGCTGAACCCGTAACCCAAGTTGAAATACTTTACTGTTGTAGTGCAAGTTGGGTTTCAATGTTGTTGTTTTTCTCAATAGGTCCCAACCACGGATGCTTTCAAGCAGCCTGGAGGAGTTACAAAGCGGATCGTTACCAAAGGTTTCATGATTTTGCTGTGTTTTGATTGAACTTCTAAGACTATATTATAGCCATGTTAGACATACAGCATGTGCTTCATTTGTATTTGACCAAACACATTAGAAACACTATGCGTGCTCTAACAACAATACATAACCAATAGGCTTCTGATGACTGTTAACCTAACAAAAACTGCTAAACACATACATGCATTCTCACACTCTTGTTGTTGAGTTGATACTATTTTTATTTATTTTTGGTGGGGTAGATCAGCTTTAATATTGCAGATAGATTGTAACTTCCATCAATGTAATTGTCTGCATCACTTCCAATCCCCATATGTTGTTTCTTTCTCGCAAATATATATATCACACTCTTGTTGTTGAGTTGATACTGTCAATACATCACTCTACTAACACTGTGTGTGTTCTCTTCATTACATGCACGGTCCCCCCTCCTGTAGCATGTAGTTGGTCAACCAGTTGAAGCGGTTTCAGAGGTATTTTCCACTGCATGATCTCACCAGAGCCACTAACCCTTAACCCTTAACCTCTCACAATCTGACTTTATCCTAGCTGACCTGAACAGAGCCAAGGGTTCACCTGAAACTGTCAAATGTAATAGCCATCATACTCTAGATGCCCCTAAGGCTTATGAAACTAGCCTTTTGTTTGTTGTCTCCTGAACACTTGTGACTCCAATGGCAGTCCAATCGAATTAACAATGATATTGTCATGAAAGGAAAAAATATAAATCTGAATCTTGTATTATGTTCTGTGTAATGTACAGGAGCAGCAGTTCAACTGAAATCAAATGTCAACAGATGCCATTTAATTTAATTTTGAATAGACTCGTGACTTGCCTGTAACCATGGCTCCCCCCAACCCACAGAATCGGCACATGGAAATGAACAAATATCAGACCCTACCAGGGAAGCTATGTCGACCTGACATGAATGGGGATCAAGAGCAGTATGCCACACAAGTCCAGCTGTCCCCTGATGATAGCGAGGACAGTGAGTTGAACCTAAGTAAGTTACATCTTAAAACACTGCTACTTGTCGTTTTTATCGAACAGCCTACTAGAATGTTTCAAACAACAAAATCTTCCTAGGGTGTATACTATAAATAAATAATTATAAACTGTGTGGTTCGAGCCCTGAATGCTGATTGGCTGACAGCCGTGGTATATCAGACCATATACCATTTATTTTGACTGCTCTAATTACGTTGGTAACCAGTTCATAATAGCAATAAGGCACCTCTGGGGTTTGTGATATATGGCCAATATACCATGGCTAAGGGCTGTGTCCAGGCACTCCGTGTAGCGTCGTGACTAAGAACAGCCCTTAGCCGTGGTATTTTGGCCATATACCACACCCCCTCTGGCCTTATTGCTTAAATACACTTCTATGGCTTGTTACAACAATGGCTCTGTTTCACTCTTCTCTCGTACTGTGGTTGGTTTGTATTGGGGCAGCTATTCTCTGCATTCTCTCTCACTCTGTACTAATCTTCCACTTGTTGTGCTGCTGTTCTGTTTCTCCTGTCCTCTTTTTTGCTTTGCGTGGCTTTCTGCTTGTGTTATGGCTGAAGACCGCTGCAGGAGTGCCAGCGCTCCAGCTTTAGGTACCGTGCTACTACTCCAGCAGAAGCCCAATGCATGTCAAAGCACCAAGCCCCTGTTTTCACTATGGATTAAAGTTGTGACTAAACTCCAGCCTGTGCAGGAGGGAGTAAGACCCTCAGTGAGTCAGAGGGAGGCGTCTCGGATTATGCCTGACTCTTTTTTTATTTCTCTCGCATAAGTGAGTGGTGTTGCAGTGCACCCCTCCCAAAGCTGACTACCCTCAAAAGCAGGGCTACTTAGGCGATGTCACGTGCGGCGAGGGTTGTGTGCACAGGGATAGACCTTGTCTGAACTGGCTTAACCATCCACTGTAAACCACTATAGATGCAACATGACAACCCATTCGCCTCAGGCTATAATTTAATTTCCCTGTATGAAATATTTTTATTGAATATGCAAAATACTAATTTGTCTTCACAGATTTTAATTGGCATCCGCTAAGACAATGTTTAAATTGCGTTAAGCACTCTGTAGAAACACTTTGACATCTGCTGATGTAAATACTGAAAATGTCGGAGCACACTAACAATGTTAATGCTTTCCTGTTTTACTTCTCACTGGGCTAACCTTTGGCACAGCAGGATCTCGTGGAAAGCATGATTTATTTGAAATGGGTGGGTCCTGCATAGACCTTAATTATGGCCCTAAAGAATGAAAGAAATACAGTGTCCGTTAACCTTTGCATTACTTACTTTCATTCAGAGAACAGTAGGGAAATTATTGAAACAGTCTAGTAGTACAGTACTTAAACATCATCTCCTGCTCTCATAGGAAAATCGGAGAGACTGGATGAGTCCACGCTGTCGGACCTGTCCCCCCTGTCGTCTGGAGTGGACTCAGGACAGCAGTCTCCTGTCTCCCCAGAGAACAGGAAGAACCACCTGGGCATCAAGAAACTCTGGGGGAAGTGAGTACCTGTACAGCAGACACACACCCACATACATGTACATGTACACACACACACACAGGAAGGGCACACTGCTGAATAAATATTTAGAGATATTAATTCAGAGACTAATGGTATAAATGGGAGATATCTGATACAAGTCATCCTGGGTAGAGGAGGTGGCCTAGCAAAGGTACTGCATAATTCTAAGTTAATGACTAATGATGTATTCTATCTCCTCTAACCTAGGATTCGGAGGACCCAGTCTGGCAGCCTGCAGAGAGAGGACCTTGAGCCTGGAGAGTTTAAGAGGGGGGGACTGAGAGCCACCGCCGGCCCTCGTCTGGCCCGGACCGGAGAGACATTGACCTCTGTGTGGTATGGGACAGACAGTATCACAAAATACATTTATACAGTGTATTCTCTTAAACATGTGCATGTGACAGAGAATATACAAAAAAGCCAAAGTATTTACATTTAGTCATTTAGCAGACACTCTTATCCAGAGTGACTTACAGTTAGTGAAAATATTCCAGTCTTGATGATCCAATCAATTTACTGTTGTCTGCGACTTACAGTTAGTATTTATAAGAGGAGCGGGAAATACAAATATTCCATTCCAATTGTCTCTCCTCTCCTGCAGGGATTTGAAGACACCCTTCTCCAAGTGGACTCCGGAGCAGGTCTGTTGCTGGCTGGAGGAGTATGGGCTGGACCAGTATGTGATTCTGGCTCGACATTGGGCCAACAGTGGGCAGACCCTCCTCTCCGCCTCACCACATGACTTAGAGAAGGTATAGTCAAAAAAATTACCCAGCTTACATATTTTGATTTACAGAACATTGTTAGAAAGTTATTTGTCAAATAAGCAAAGGAGATCCTTCAGGGAACGTTATTATTTGGACGCAAAGGAGATCCTTCAAGGAACGTCGTTGTTTGGACGCAAAGGAGATCCTTCATGGAACGTCATTGTTTGGACGCAAAGGAGATCCTTCAGGGAACGTCATTGTTTGGACGCAAAGGAGATCCTTCAGGGAACATCGTTGTTTGGACGCAAAGGAGATCCTTCAAGGAATGTCGTTGTTTGGACGCAAAGCAGGTCCTTCAGGGAACGTCGTTGTTTGGAAGCAAAGGAGATTCTTCAGGGAACGTCGTTGTTTGGATGCAAAGGAGATCCTTCAGGGAATGTGGTTGTTTGGATGCATCATTCTCATCACCATCTAGTTCTATCTGTCTAGTTCTCAAGAAGCCATTTCGTTCCTCCTTTCACGTCATCATGTTGCTGGACTTTTGTCTTCGTTGTTTTTAGCAAGTTTAGAGGTATATTTCAGATATACACTACTGGTCAAAGTTTTAGAACACCTACTCATTCAAGGGCTTTTCTTTATTATTACTATTTTCTACGTTGTAGAATAATAGTGAAGACATCAAAACTATGAAATAACGCATATGGAATCATGTAGTAACCAAAAAAGTGTTAAACAAATCGAAATGATTTTTATATTTGAGATTCTTCAAATAGCCACCCTTTGCCTTGATGACAGCTTTGCACACTCTTGGCATCCTCTCAACCAGCTTCACCTGGAATGCTTTTCCAACAGTCTTGAAGGAGTTCCCACATATGCTGAGCACTTGTTGGCTGCTTTTTTTCCTTCCGACTCAAACCATCTCAATTAGGTTGAGGTCAGGAGATTGTGGAGGCCAGGTCATCTGATGCAGAACTCCATCACTCTCCTTCTTGGTCAGATAGCCCTTACTCAGCCTGGAGGTGTGTTGGGTCATTGTCCTGTTGAAAAACAAATGATAGTCCCATAAGCCCAAACCAGATGGGATGGCGTATCGCTGCAGAATGCTGTGGTAGCAATGCTGGTTAAGTGTCCCTTGAATTCTAAATAAATTACAGACAGTGTCACCAGCAAAGCACCCCCACACCATAACACCACCTCCTCCATGCTTTACGGTGGGAAATACACATGCGGAGATCATCCGTTCACCCACACCGCGTCTCACAAAGACACAGCGGTTGGAACCAAAAACTCCAATTTGGACTCCAGACCAAAGGACATATTTCCATTGGTCTAATGTCCATTGCTCGTGTTTCTTGGCCCAAGCAAGTATCTTCTTATTATTGGTGTCCTTTAGTAGTGGTTTCTTTGCAGCAATTCGACCATGAAGGCCTGATTCACACAGTCTCCTCTGAACAGTTGATGTCAAGATGTGTCTGTTACTTGAACTCTGTGAAGCATTTATTTGGGCTGCAATTTACTTATCCTCTGCCCAAAGGTAACTCTGGGTCTTCCATTCCTGTGGCGGTCCTCATGAGAGCCAGTTTCATCAAAGCGCTTGATGGTTTTTTTGCGACTGCACTTGAAGAAACTTTCAAAGTTCTTGAAATGTTCCATATTGACTGACCTAATGACGTTTCTCTTTGCTTATTTGAGCTGTTCTTGCCATAATATGGACTTGGTCTTTTACCAAATAGGGCTATCTTCTGTATACCCAGGCCATTTGTTTGGTTCTTGATCACAGTTGTGAAATAGTGTGCCAAGTGATTCCAAATCTAGTTATCAAAACTGTCATTTTCAGCACTCATCTTGTAGAAAGGGATTGGAGCATCTGCTAAATGACTAAAATGTAAAAATTTAACCTGGATTAATCTTAATCTTGGTATCAGGAAATGGGGATTAAGAATCCACTGCACAGGAAGAAGTTGCAGTTGGCCCTCAAGTCCTTCAGCACCAAAATGACTGAGAAATCCTCTGAACTGGACCACATCTGGGTCACACGTATGTATCAGGACACAGTAGAGGTCATCAACATATTCACTCAACATTCAGCAAACTTGGTGCTGTATTCTATATAATCAATCCGGTATAATTGGTTGTCATGTGGTTTGTCCTCAAAGGTTGGCTTGATGACATTGGTTTACCTCAGTACAAGGGTCAGTTTCATGAGGGAAGGGTGGATGGCAGAATGCTTCAGTACTTGACAGTGGTAAGCACATCCATTGGTTTTCACTGTTGTGTCTCAGCATTATTGTTTATAAGGCTTTCAGGTCTCCCTCGAAAAAAGAGATCTCAAGGGACCTCCTAGTTAAATACAGCTTAAATAAATAAATATAAATTAAGAAAACATGAGACTTGTATTTGATGCGTTTCCCTCAGAATGACCTCTTGTTCCTGAAAGTGACCAGTCAGCTTCATCATCTCAGTGTGAAGTGTGCTATTCACGTCCTCCACGTCAACAAGTTCAACCCCAACTGCCTGAAGAGAAGACCTGGAGATGAGGTGAGATGTGTGTGTGCACGTTTATAGGAGGTTTTCTGTTTACACAGTATGTAGCTGTGTTTTCTCATACATGTGTTTTGCTGTGACAATATAGGTCAAATTAAGATCCTACATCTGTAGTTGTGTTTGCTCATACATGTTTTATATTTTGTGCTAGAACAAGACATCTCCCTCGGAGGTGGTTCAGTGGTCTAACCACAGGGTGATGGAGTGGCTTCGCTCAGTGGACCTGGCGGAATACGCCCCCAACCTGAGGGGCAGTGGGGTGCACGGGGGCCTCATCGTAAGTAACCTGAGGGGTAGCAGGGTGCACAGGGGCCTCATCGTAAGTAACGTGAGGGGCAGCAGGGTGCACAGGGGCCTCATCGTAAGTAACCTGAGGGGTAGCAGGGTGCACAGGGGCCTCATCGTAAGTAACCTGAGGGGCAGCGGGGTGCACAGGGGCCTCATCGTAAGTAACCTGAGGGGTAGCAGGGTGCACGGGGGCCTCATTTTATGTAACCTGAAGGGCAGCGGGGTGCACGGGGGGCTCATCGTAAGTAACCTGAGGGGTAGCGGGGTGCACGGGGGCCTCATCGTAAGTAACCTGAGGGGCAGCGGGGTGCACGGGGGCCTCATCGTAAGTAACCTGAGGGGTAGCAGGGTGCACGGGGGCCTCATCGTAAGTAACCTGAGGGGCAGCGGGGTGCACGGGGGCCTCATCGTAAGTAACCTGAGGGGCAGCGGGGTGCACGGGGGCCTCATCGTAAGTAACGTGAGGGGCAGCGGGGTGCACGGGGGCCTCATTGTAAGTAACGTGAGGGGCAGCAGGGTGCACAGGGGCCTCATCGTAAGTAACCTGAGGGGTAGCAGGGTGCACAGGGGCCTCATTTTATGTAACCTGAAGGGCAGCGGGGTGCACGGGGGGCTCATCGTAAGTAACGTGAGGGGCAGCGGGGTGCACAGGGGCCTCATCGTAAGTAACCTGAGGGGCAGCGGGGTGCACGGGGGCCTCATCGTAAGTAACCTGAGGGGCAGCGGGGTGCACAGGGGCCTCATCGTAAGTAACCTGAGGGGTAGCAGGGTGCACGGGGGCCTCATCGTAAGTAACCTGAGGGGCAGCGGGGTGCACGGGGGCCTCATCGTAAGTAACGTGAGGGGCAGCGGGGTGCACGGGGGCCTCATCGTAAGTAACCTGAGGGGCAGCAGGGTGCACGGGGGCCTCATCGTACGTAACCTGAGGGGCAGCAGGGTGCACGGGGGCCTCATCGTAAGTAACCTGAGGGGCAGCAGGGTGCACGGGGGCCTCATCGTAAGTACACACGCCACATGACTGAATCAGCCCCTTCTTATACCTTTCTACTGCATATCAGCTCAGGTCACATTTGGATACAGTCAGACATACAATTCAAGACTCCCTAAAGCAAAGTTTATTTTGAATTAACCTATTCTGCCAATTAATTCCATCCCAGTGTTCTGTGTAATTGTCTGTATGTAGACTGTATCTTCCTCTGAATCTTCTCTAATGACCCCTAGATTCTGGAGCCTCGTTTTAACTCGGATACCCTGGCCATGCTGCTGAACATCCCCCCTCAGAAGACCCTGCTGCGACGCCACCTGGCCACCAACTTCAACATGCTGGTGGGCTCCCAGGCTCAGCAGGAGAAGAGGGAGTTCATGGAGTCGTCGGGCTACGCTCCCCTCAGCACCACAGCCAAAGTCAGGGTAAGAGATGACAGTACTGTAGTACGTCCAGGGCTGAACCACCACTCTGTTAGGAGCCCTCTTTTTGGTTCTTCCTCCCACTCTCTCTCCCCCTCCTCTCTCTGCCCCCCCCTCTCTCTCCTCTTTCTCTCCCCCTTCGCTCTCTCTCGCTCTCGCGCTCTCTCTCGCTCTCTCTCTCTCTCTCTCTCTCTCTGCCCCCAAACACTCTCTCTCTCTATCTCTCTCTCTCTCCTCTCTCACCTCCTCCCCTTCCTCATCTCTTTAGAGAGACAGACAACACCATAATCCTCAGTGTGACACCTCAGACCTGGCAAAGCTCTAAGACCACCTAGCAGCTTTGCGTGCAGCAGGCTTTTGTAGCGCCAGCTCATCTCTAAGACTCACCGCTTTGTTAAGGCTAGCAGAAAATGTGCTGAGGAAAATTTTTTGCGATAGCATAATGTACTTAGTCAGCACAATTAGGCTTAAAGTAACCTTTTATAGCAACACTGCCCATATTGTACGGTGTTTAGAAATCTATTCACTGATGATGGTTAAAGGGCTAGAATAGAAGTGATACACAGCTTTATCTCAGTCTGTTCATAAACCATGTCCTCTCTGTGCCATCTCCTGTTCAGCCAAAGAAGTTGGGCTTCTCAAACTTCGGCCACCTGAGGAAGAAGAGGTGTGATGAGTCAACAGACTATATTTGCCCCCTGGAGGAGGCCCAGGTCCAGACGGTGGTGAACGGGGCCCACCGGCCCTACTCCGGCTTCAGGGGCCTCAGCCCCATCCTGGACAGAGACCCAGACAGACGGGAGCAGGTGGGGCCAAACTGCTGATGATGTCACACTACTGTACCTACCTACCCATCACTACTCAGCTTGCTGCCAATAACCCCACCTCTTCCTGCCATGCCCATCCATATCCCACCCCAGCACACCCACCTCCACACCCCTCACGTGCCATCATCTAACAATCAACCCTAGCCTCATGCATGAGCTGCACTCTGGACACTTAAGAGTGGATGGTGAGTGGGAGAGCTCACCCCTCCTATGTTCTCGGTGGATTCACAAGCCTAGTGTTCAGCTGTGGTATATCACCTCACCCCTTTAATGCAGTAGGATAATGCCAATATTATAAACAATATTGTGCATTATTTTAATGATCATTTTAACACCTGTATTTGAGATTCACCTAATGGTATTCATCCATTGTTTTTAAAGATATTCCTAACCAGTAGAAAGTAATGTTGCTGTTTGTCAGACAGTTATGGAACGAACTTGTGCAATATTTGCATATGGAGGAATACATTTCATATATTTATGTTGGTAAATACGTTGAAAGAAGTTCAATGAGATTTTATAGCTGTGCACATTTTGATGGATTCCAGATTGTGATTATGCACTGTTATTTTCATATATGACTGTTATAATATTTTTATAGTTAAAGATAACGCTTCGATCAAGGAATCGCGCTTGTTGTCATCAATTGTAAATAGCATTATCCAAATCATCAATAAAAATCATAAGTGTGATAAGTGTTTTATTCTTCCTGATAAATTGTATTCAATCTTTATTCAAAGCATGCTTCTCTCATTAGAGAAGGAGACCGTAGTCTTGTCTCAGTTTTACAATTAAATGATCTCTGTTCATTATCAATATTTCCAATTTGTCGATTTTAAGGAAACTTGAATCAAAGAGACACTTGTATTGAAATACATTGTGGGGGCGGGGCTCAACCATGTGCAGGTACATCTTTATCATGAATCCATAATGGCCATGTTCTAGGCTGATTACACTGCAGACACCTGCCAGATCTCACAACACCTGGATATGTATCTAAATTACATATCAGCTAGTCACATCATATAGCAGTCTGATACCCGACTGCACAGTTGATGATGTGGCACGCAATCATTGGCTTATGCAATGCAACAACTGCAATGTAGTCGGCCTGGAACGCGACCTATGACTTGAACAATGGTGCTTGCTCAGCAGCTAGATCCTTCTACCCTGCCATCCATCATGCATGGGACTAAACAAAGCACTGTGTGTTATGTCATTGATGTCCTGGCCTGTCAGTAGTACAAGTAGCTCTATTCAATCCGTATCGCGGAAGTTTAGCATTACTGCGTTCACAGGAAATGCTGCATATGTCGGCTCAATCGGAAATGAACTTTAGCGATACAGTTTGAATAGAGCCGCTAGGCGTTGTGTTTGATGAAAGGCCTGACTTTGCAGATGGCGGCGACAGAGGGGACCGTGCTGCAGATAGAAGCTCTGTCTGAGGGAATTAACCAACTCACAGTAAGTAGCTCCTCGGTCAGTCTCGTTCAACAAGCTTTTTAAATCTGTTTAATTAAATAATCAAATAACCAGGTAACAAAGTATTTCCTGTTAAGCTGTTTTGTTTAGCATTTCTCCTGTGGCACTATGCTGTTCTTATATTTGCTAACAGCGGGTGTTGCAACTGAACAAACAGGCTTCAACAAATAGATTTTGAAGTTACTTTGTTGGGACATTAGCCTTAAGCCTTTAACTGACAATAAACATTGCAGCATAACGCACCCTGCTAACCCCAGTTCCTGGCCCTTCTTGCTTTCAGTATTTGCTTAGCCGAGATGAGGTTCTGAAGGAAATGAGGCGGCCTCAAACGGCACTAGTCTGAGAGGATGCCACGCTGCCCACACTAACCAACGCAGCCAATCAACCAAGGGAAAGCGCAGCCTCATACCAACCAGTCCTCAACGCAGGGGGCTTTAACAGCAACCTCATCTGGCCATATCCCTTATCTCATCATAATACAGGACTATAATGAACACTACTTCTGTATTAGTGACAGAAACACAATGAACGTTGAAGCAATTCTGTGTTACATGTGTCATTTGAGTGTAGCTCTTCACCAAACTAAATAGTATGTACTATACTAGGTACTACACCTCTTTAAGGAATACCTGGGATAGGATAAAGTAATCCTTCTAAAAAACATTGTAAAGTGGTTATCCCACTGGCTATAAGGTGAATGCACCAATTTGTAAGTCGCTCTGGATAAGAGCGTCTGCTAAATGACGTAAATGTAAATGTAGGTACTTTGTATTTTTTGTGAAAAGTATTGGCCTACCACAAGCCACTTAAACATTCATTAATGTGCTTTTTTCTCTATGTAATCTCTTACCCTGTAATATTGCCCAAACTGTATTATTTTGTACGATATATATATCATATTTTACAACTTGTTTATTACGTTTGTATACTGAACTAAAATATAAACACAACATGTAACAATTTCAAAGATTTTACTGAGTTACAGTTCATATAAGGAAATCAGTCTATTAAAATACATTCATTACGCCCTAATCTATGGATTTCACATGACTGGGAATGCAGATATGCATCTGTTGGTCACATATACCTTATCATGCTAAAACATGAGGTGATGGTGGCGGATGAATGACACGACAATGGGCCTCGGGATCTTGTCAGGGTATCTCTGTGCAGTCGATAAAATGCAATTGTGTTCGTTGTCTATAGCTTATGCCTGCTCATACCATAACCCCACAGCCCCCATGGGGCACTCTGTTCACAATGTTGACATCAGCTCACGTGGCCCGCGGTTGTGAGGTCGGTTGGACGTACTGCCAAATTCTCTAAAACAACGTTGGAGGCGGCTTATGGAGGAGAAATGAACATTCAAATTCTCTGGCAACAGCTCTGGTGGACATTCCTGCAGTCAGCATGCCAATTGCATGCTCCCTCAAAACATGAGACATCTGTCGCATTGTGTTGTGAAACAAAACTGCATATTTTAGAGTGGTCTTTTATTGTCCCCAGCACAAGGTGCACCTGTGTAATGATCATGCTGTTTAGTCAGCTTCTTGATATGCCACACCTGTCAGGTGGATGGATTATCTTGGCAAAGGAGAAATGCTCACTAACAGGGATGTAAACAAATTTGTGCACAACATTTTAGAGAAAGCTTTTTGTGTGTATGGAACATTTCTGGGATCTTTTATTTCAGCTCATGAAACATGGGACCAACACTTTATATGTTGTGTTTATATTTTTGTTCAGTATATGTTTTCGAGGTTACCTGGACACATCCCTGATAAAAACAAGGCACTAGGTCATACTGCAAACAAACACACCCAACACTTAATACAGCTAATTTCTATTGGATTAACAAGAAACAGGTTTTTCCATGTTTCCACACATAATTGGCATATATTTGCATAGGCAGATGTAGTCCTTGTGGTAAGTCCCTTTAACAAGTCACAAGACCAGAGGATCCCTTCTGTAAGAGAGGAAACACTAAGGGAAGCCTGCTCTCTAGGAGTTAGGTAACCCAGTGAACTGTCCAAACCCAGGCATAACCTGTATGAGGGTCCTTCTGCTGGTTGTTCATCTGCTTCAACCCAGCACATCCTAATATCTCACCAGGGTTCCAGAGAGGAGAGAGGGGCTGGAGCTGTTCCAAACATCAAAGGCAGACCCATACTGGTGAGTTGTAATTTACTTATTACTTTTTTTACCATTCTGGAGCAAACACAGTACAATCCAAATATGTTTGTAGCTTCTAAGGTTTGGGTTCCATTAGGGTTGAGTACATTCAACCCCTGTTATTACACAAGTATAATTTATGAAACTTTTTTCATCTGAATTAAAATTTCTACAACAATAAACTATGCTGTTGTTATCATATTTCCAGGTTATAAGGGAAACCACCCTCTAACCTAGTCCTGTAAGCATGGGGAAGATAGAGAGCAAGCAACCAGCCCCAGACATTCCCAAGAGAACCTCAACCTGGTGGGAGACGCTAGAGAAGAAGCCACCTGCCCCAACCATGACCATTCCAAACATTAACTTTAATTTCCCAACCCTGTGGGGGAGGAGAGAGAGCAAGCCACCAGACCCAGACATACCCAGTATATTCTCCACCTTGTGGAGAACCCCCAACAACCCCAATGATTTCGTCCCTCTATTCAACGACTGTGTGGGGATAGCTGCAGCTAGGACCCAGGAGTATCTCCTATTCCTGGACCCAGAGGACAAGTTCCAGCCCAGCCCGGCAGCCCTCAACGATATTTTCCTAATGACCTATATCACCCAGAGCAGCCACCTCCACATGACCGACTCCTTCAACTGCACCACCATGACCAAGCAGCAGCGCATCCTCCTGGGTGCTGACTGGGTGTGGGCTGTACTGGAGAGGCCCACCAAGAACCCCCGCATCCAGATCGCCGTGCAGATCCTGCACCTGCCCGAGAGGGGGGGAGGGCCAGCCGAGGACATCCCTCCGGAGGTGTACACTGAATCCATGCAGATGGCCAAGATGGAGTCTGCTCATAGGAACAAGGCAGAGAGGATGGTGGATTTCTGTGCCTCCATCGGTAATGACTGCTACGCCCTCTTTCTCCTCTTCGGCCGCAAGGGCGACCCGGGCAACATCTACGGGGTGCTGAGCAACAACTTTCACGCTGCTATAGGGAAGACTAAGATCAACCGTGCACTCATTGAGAATTTCTTTAAAGGGTCCAGGTACTTACACACGCCCACTGGAATGCTACAGGCTATCATCACCAAGAGAGATTGTGACCCTTTAACTCTGCTCATCAAGTTTACCTGACCAGTGTGATCGATGACAGTACAACCATATGGTACCTTTCAGATGACTCTGTGTTTACTGTAGTGTTTCAAATGGGGGGAAGGACTGTTGTGATTGGTGGGTTTATGCTTGCCTGGGACTCGGGGACCCAGTGTGCTGAAATTGGCCCGTGTCCATGTCTCATGTGTGTACTACTGACCCATACCTGCTGACAGCTGCTCACACCCCCATGGTTAGTATTTCTGTTAGGGCTCTATTCAATCAGATCCGCTTTAACCGACATCCGCATAGCGGTTCTTTTGGCAGTGTCGGAGGTGGAACTGCGTTAGAACTGTCAAATCCAAAGCGGCTCCTGGCATTATACCTAAAGCG